CAAGTGGGTCTTTCGCATCAAGACCAATGATGGCGGCATGATTGACAAATACAAAGCCCACTGGGTAGTTCGATAATCCGAGCAGACGCACTACATTTAATACTACCATAAATTCGCTCCTGTCATTGGCCACATCTTTATTCGCATCCTAATGTACATGGCTGCCGCCAAGCATCTCGCTCTTCACCAAATCAACGTTAAGAATGCCATTCTCTAAGCCATCGTCGACGCGACCATCTATGCCGAACAACTATGCGCGTTCGTTGACGACGCCACCCAAGTTTGCCTGCTCCAAAAATCGCTCGACGGCATCAAACATGCCCTTGCCTCTGGCAACAATACTTCCCCTCCGTTCTCCTGGCACTTAGCTTCAGTAAGATATGTACTTGCTCAGACATCGTGGCAACTACATCCTATTCGTCGCCTACGTTGACGACCTCCTTTACATCGGCACGAACATCCTGCTCGATAGTTTCAGCATAACATCAAGGAGAAGATCGGCGCCACTATATCGCACTCTGTGACATAGTTATTGAGCCTTCTTCCAATCAGGGCCCTCGATGCATTTGGGGCACCAGGCCGGATACAAGTTGTGAACAACCTTCACCCTAACAGTGCATTGTGCTAGGTGCGGCATACTCAAGAATTAGTAGGGTATTTATTTTTTCCTTATTGGAATTGGCAAGGTTACAAAATTGCAAACAATTTTTCCTCCCGTTTTCCTTTTCCGTGAACAAACGTACACAGAGCCAGCATAGGTTTGAGGAGGGGGAGAGGGCATGAGAAGGCACAAGGTTGGGGAGGGGGTGGGTGGGGAGGGGAACAAATGGTGCTAGTGAAAGGGCCGAGCAAACTTATGATGGGGAAAGAATACTGCCGGGAGTGTATGTTGGAGATGTCACTTCCTTTGTTGTCGCCCTTTTGAGTGTTTCCGCGTCTTCGCCCCTTTTATAGCGTGTCTCGGTGACTTAACCAAATCCAACGTGTTTCAGTGTCTTCGCAAGGTTTCCAGCGTGTTCGGTGACTTGCCAATCTCCATGACGTGCGCTTCGCGACTTCTTGCTGTGGGTACGCATACGGAATGGAGACTGTATGGCTCATCCCTTTCTCCCGTATGTACGTCCTTTGTGTGTCGCTCTTGAACTCTGCGGCGCATTCCGTTTGTCAGATTTTGATCTCATAGACGGACTGACATTGTGTGTGCTTGAGCCAGAGTTTGAAGAATTTGAAGGTCTTATTCCGAGCAGGGACGTTTTGACCCACACAAATCATGTGTTCGCGCCAACAAAGGTGAGTATGTATTCTTCACCGTTGATGCCGGTTAGAACGAGGAAATCACTGGCGGTTACTTCCGGGCTCGAGCAGCAAAAACGGATGGTGTGCGAGGGCAGCTTTCGTGCAGATGGTGCGGTCATGCAGTTCGTTGCTTGACGTAAGTTCGGTCCAATCAGGTCGCAACAACACTTCCAAAATGATGCGCAAATGCAGCTGTTCGAAGCGGCACGTGAGGGGTGACCAAGTCGTTGGTGCCACCGTGAGGTGGGGCTCGGAGACCGGAGGATATGCGATAATAGCTCCGTACTTCCGCTTTTGTGTCTTCACTTTCTGGCGTTTCGGAGCAAGTGTGGCAGGAGCATCTAAATTGGCGACTGCTTCGATTGCTCAACAAAGAATGAGGGCCCCCAAAATCACCGAAAGGGCCACCATGCGCAGGTATTCACAAAAAATAACAAGTCTGGGAAAGGCTGGATGAATGGTTGAGAGGGATTGGAAACACTATGAGATACTGTGAGAAGTGCACATGTTTGCAAACCATTTCGCAGGCGGAAGCTGATTGGCCGCGCTACTCAAAGACAAGCGCGTGCTGATTGGCCGGGATACTCTGAGACAAGCGTGTCCTGATTGGTCGCGCTACTTTGAGACAAGCGCGTGTTGATTGGCCGCCTGGTAGTTTGGCGTGCCGTGATTTTTTGTCCTTCTTACAAGTTTCTCGATATTGTAAAGATGGGTTCATTGTTAGGGTATGCTTGCAAGCTCCACTCAGAAATGAGGTGTACTTGTGGATAAAGAAAAGGATGTGACACGTCAGTATGAGCCAATCCTCCATGACGCGAAGTTTTTTGACAGCGCATACTGAGCACGTGTTTTGCAATCCCACGATTAGCAATTATGAGCATTAGTAACCACATCGCCACTCAACTCCTCATTTCGCGAGCCTCTGTTTTAGCCCCAACCGTGCTATGTTGGCACAGCTGGCAAGCTTATCGGCTTAGGGTCCGACATGAGGGGCTTGAAGTGGCCCAGTTTCAAACACCTGATTCATTCTGTGTGACTTCTCCCAACCTCTCGATTTCCTAGTGCCTTGGTCTCCTAGTTCCCCTGCCCCAAGTAGTCTCACAACGAGCCGCTTTGTATCTATCTCCCTCGCCCATTCCACTGTTGTTTTACGAAGCTTGCTTACTAACTCTCCGCCCCGCCCGTTCCTTTTTTTCTATCATTCCGCCCCCTCTATCTAACAGATCACGATGTGATCGAAAGGTCGCACTCTCCGTGAGCGGCACCGTGTGTCGCTTCGAGCGGCACGGCGTTCACCAGCGACGGGCGCGACCACGACGGCGAGCGACCTGCGCGACAACTACGGCGAGCGATGGGCGCGACAACTACGGCGAGCGACGGGCGCGACAACGAGGGCGCGTGACAACGTCGGCGAGCGATGAGCGTGACAACGACGGCGAGGGACAACGAGCGGCACGCGACGGGCGTGACAACGACGGCGAGCCACCATGCCAGTGCCAGTGCCAGCGCGGCGCACAGCACGCGCTCACGCTCCCGCGTCATCGCTTCCTTGTGCTCTTGCTCGAGCTAAGGTCACTCCGAGCCGTTTACTATCTCTACGGCCCGCCTCTTTCTCTTATGTTTTCCAGAAATTCGTGTGACTAATGTGCAGAGTCCTTGACTATCACGTGAGTTGTGTTGTTTGTTCCTATGAGCAGAGTCATGGCGCTCATACATTGTACAATCGCTCAATCTAGGCGTCATTACGCCGAGTTAAGACTTCGGGATTTGAGTGTCGACTAGCGTATGCATGGGTAAGCGCATCGTACTTTCTACCTTCCTGGTTGCTGAAAGGTTGCTTTTCACCCTCAACCCACTGTTTCGTTTGTGTTTTGGATGTGTGTGAGCACTGCGCAGCTTGTGGGCTTACTAAGTTGAGAGTACATAATTGGCTTTTAGTGGTAGATTGCTAGGAAAAATGTTAGAACGTGTCCATTTCAGCGTATTGATTATATTGTACAACGCTGAGTTGCAAATGTATGTGCCCTACATTGCAGTGCAAAATATTGAATAGCCAGAGAATGCATTTTTACAGTAATTGGTAATATATTGTAATATGCATTTTGTAGATCTGTTATATGTATAAAATGTTTAGAGTAGCCATTGCTGAAAACACTGTACACTATTTCGATTAATGACGTCCCAATTTATTGCAGTCACATCTGGTTTAAGCTTATAAAATTTTCCCAGAAAAGTACTTGTAAGCTTCTGGAGTATTGAGTGTATTTTTAGGCTTGTTGTTATACCGTTATCGGTTTGCCCTGTACATGGTTTATACAATCCTCTTTCAAAGATTGTGGAAACCACAAACAATCCTTTCGAAGTATCCCAAGAGTTACGCTGAACTTACCCACCCTTTTCATGTGCAATGCGCATAGTAAACCTAAAAGTGTGTTCCCAGGAGGTACTTCGAACATAGATCGCGCTAAGTTCGTTCATTGTTTTTGGCCCAAATTTTTTGTTGAGTGGTGTGGGACGATGGCGGAGATGCAGAGGCGGTCCGTAGATCACAGATAGTCCACTGGCGTTTGGATCAAGGTCGAATTCTCCGATAGGAGTTGAGTCAAGGTGGAGCGGGCTACGCGAGTATCGGCGTTATGGCAAAACAGTGTCACTGTTATCCAGTCGCGTTTCGGGTGACGGGGAGCGAGGAGGTGAGTAGGAGGGGAAATTTGAGGGAGGTCGACCAAGAGGAACTGCTTGTGCTGTTGTTAGTGTTTCTTGGCGACCGGCTCCTCATGCCAGATAAGCTCTTGCTCTCATCGTTCTGGGTCGATTTCTTCATCATCTTCGCCAACTTTCCAACCCGTTCCTGCCGTGCTGCTACCCCATCCGCATGCTGCGTCGGTACACCAACCACCTGCTCCACTGGCGGTTCCTCTTTAGCGTCGGCGCCCCAGCCTTCTCCTTCGGTGTCGACTCCCCATCCACCGGTCCGGTGAAGGTGTTCTTCTCTACGTTCATCTTATGCATGCTCGAATTCTTCTCGCGCGATCTCCTTGGATTCTTCCTTTGAGCGTGGCATATCGGGTTTGCACTAACGCGGATTCCGTACGTGGAAGGTCTCCCAACCGTATAGTAAGGGTCGGCCTGTTTCATCGAAGGCACCTGGACCTTCGTAGTGCAAAATTTAAGCCGGTTGCATGATGGTAATGGCTGCTTGCAGCTCGTTTACTGTCATGCCCGCGACCTGCGGAACTTGCGTCTCAACTTATTCCACGTTGTCAACGCTAGTGCATGCGACGGCGGGTGGAACTTGCAACTTAATTTCTTCCACGATGTCGACACTAGTGTCGGCTGGGTTGCTGGTGAGTGCGGCAGTTGCGACAGGCGCCATTGGGCCCTGGAACGTGTCGATCAATTTTCCTCGGGCGTGACGCTTGATCTACGGGCGTCCGTCGGGGTGCGTGTAATCTCTTGATGATTCCCATCAGGGCCTCAGAAGTCGGCGAAAAAAGGCTGATTTAGATTAAAAAAAGGCTGCCATTTTTCTTTAGAACCAGGGCTGATTTTTCAGCAATTTTTTGGAAAGAAACAGGAAAAACTATGAGAATTTTAGTGTAAAATGGCATAAAAAGGTCGATTTGTCTGATTTTCAGCATATTTTATTGTACCAACTCTGATTTTTCAGACTAGCCCAAAACCAATCTGAGGTCCTGATTCCCATGTGCATGACCATGACATTAGATCTGGACTACGTTTTGAGGCCTGGTGCGTTATAGGTAGCGAAGGGTTCGGACCTTGGGCTCGTGAACATTGTTTTACGCGGTGAGGCCAAGTGCGACGTAAGGAAATTGAGAATTTCCTTTACTGTTCGGGCAATGACAAGGCATTTGACTAAACTGCCGATAGGTGGGCTTGTATCGAGAGTGAGGGAACGCAGCACTTTTCTGGTGGCTAACCACCGTGACCTTCGAGGCGAACAGGCAAAAGGAGCAATAACCAGAATTTACCTTTCCCCGCCGCCTTGACGTTCCCCCCTGACACCAGTCCCCAGCTCCTTCCCTCCTCCCGCTCTTGCACACCCCTGTCCGTTTCCATGCCTTCCCCGAGTTCCCCCCACGCGTTCTGCCGCAATCCGCCACGATTTCCCCGATTCCCTCTCCCCCCTCCTCTTTCCGCCTTCCTTCTCTCACTCCTCCCCCCTTCCCTTCCCCGTTCCCACCTCTCGCCCTCAACTCAACCCTAACTCAAATCTGCTCCTCGCTCCTTAGTCTCTCTCTTTCCTTCCCTTCTCTCGCGGAGTGGGACCGAGTAGGGTAGCACTTAGCTGCAACGTCACAATCGCGCACCCAGCCACCCGCCCTAGAATACCCAGCAGCAGCCATGGCGACAGCAGCGGCTCGTCCGCTCGTGACAGTTCAGCCGTACGACGAGGCCGGCGCGCCGCAGCAGGCGGCGCTTCCCGCGGTGTTCCTCGCGCCGATCCGCAGCGATGTCGTTAAGTTCGTGCACGCGATGGTTTCGATGAACAAGCGCCAGCCGTACGCCGTCAGCACCAAGGCGGGCCACCAGACGTCCGCCGAGTCCTGGGGTACCGGTCGCGCCGTGTCGCGTATTCCGCGTGTTCCCGGCGGCGGTACGCACCGCGCGGGACAAGGAGCCTTCGGTAACATGTGCCGCGGCGGTCACCTGTTCGCGCCGCTCCGCATCTGGCGCCGCTGGCACCGCAAGGTGGACATTCTGACCCTTTCCCGCTATAGCAGATGTACCGATATCACAGGGAAACTTTTAGTCAAGTGCTGTCTACATTAGGCTCTCACGAGTTAGTGAACCAGGAGAATTCCTCATTTCTAGGACCGTTACTCCTACTTCGCGCGATTTTGGGCGTCCGATCGCGCTAGGTTTCTCGAGCTACAAGTCTCTGGAATCTGGGCTAGTCTTAGGTTGGTCGGAGTCCAACGAGAATCGCAGGAGGTCGTCACATCAAACGCACGAAGCATGTCTGTTGACGCGGTATAAGCGATGCTGAAATCATGTAGCACCTTTAGATATGCTCAGACTGTGGGCTTTCAGGGAGTGCTACCGTCGAGGCCTCTCGGTCTTAGCTTCGTCCTGAACGGTTGGAATCAAGCAGGGGACGCTAGATTTTGCTCCGTGGTTGCCACGTGGCTAGATTCCGCCCGCCCATGCGGGTTACGTCCTCCTTACTGGATGCGCGGAATGCGCGTCACGTGCAAGGCGAGAGTCGTCACACGCCGATCCGAGCTGTCATCTAGCCCGACCTAAACCATGACCTAATCTTCACTATCCCATGTAGTCTGCGCGCGGTTGGATGTTCGATGCTCATGCGACCAACTCGTTGGTTGCACTGGTATCGATTATCAGCAAGCTAGCGTAAGCTGTCGACCAACGTGTTCATGGCCTGCTAGCATTTCCCGTCAGGCCGGCAGAAGTTTTTTTCGGCCCTAGCAAGTCGCGCGTTTTCCTTCGAGCAGTTTCTCAATCGAATAAGAACCTACGTCAACATTCGCTTCTTCATGTGTCGATCTTAACGTCGACACGGCACGGCTCTAACTTTTGCAACCCCGTGTCCCCTTCCCTGGTACCCCCATTCTCCCCTTCCCCCGTGCCCGCGCAGGTCCCTATCAAGATGCGCCGCCATGCGGTCGCCTCCGCCATTGCCGCCTCGGCAGTGCCCGCGCTCGTGCAGGCGCACGGCCACGCCGTCAGCAAGGTACGCAGTGACGTAGACGGCGTATCACCCAATACGGCCCATTTTGCCGACCTTCCGTGGCTTTCCCCTTTGTTTCCCATGCTTCCTCCCTCTTTCCCTTCCCCTCCCCTTCATCTCCCCCTGTCCCTCTCTCCACCATACTCCCCGCTTTTCCCCCTGTCGCTTCTCTCCCTCCCCCCCCGCACACTCCCGCCCTCGTCATTCCCTGTCCCTGTATCCCCGTCGCCCGCCTTTTCATCCCTGTTTCCCAATCCTCCCTCCCCCTCTGTCCCCTCCCCCCCCCTATCCCCCTGTCCTCCCTCTACCCCCTGCCCCCTTTATTCATACGTTTCCCTCATTTCCCCCCTACCCCCTGTCCCCCCTCCAACCCACCTCTCTCCCTCCCTTCCCCCCCCCTCCCCCTCCCCCCTCTCTTCCCCCCTCCCCCCGCCCCCCTTCTCCCCCTTCCCCTCCTCCCTCTCTTGTCCCCGCGCGCATCAGGCGCCGGAGCTGCCGCTGGTAGTGGACAACGAGATCGAGTCGGTCGACAAGACTTCCTCCGCGCTCAAGGCGCTGAAGCGCATCGGCGCGTACGATGACGTGGCGAAGGTGATCGCGACCAAGAAGATCCGGCCCGGCAAGGGCAAGATGCGCAACCGGCGGTATCTGAGCAAGAAGGGCCCGCTCATCGTGTACGGCACCGACGGCGCCAAGCTCACCAAGGCCTTCCGCAACATCCCTGGCGTGCAGGTGCGCGCGAGAATGGCACGTGCGGGTGAGCGGGTGAGAGGAAGGAGAGATTAGCAGGGGATGGGGAGAAGTGCGGCTGGAAGGTTTGGGGCCTTTTAAGAAAGGCCCTCCCATTGGCGCTCATCGTGTACGGCACCCACGGCGCCAAGCTGGCCAAGCTCACCCAGGCCTTCCGCAACATCCCCGGCGTGCAGGTGCGCGCAAGAGCTGATGTGCGGGAGAGGGTTGAGTAGGTGGTCGCAGCAAGGGCGATGTGCAATTGTCTTATTTCTCTTGCCCTCCTCCGCTCCTTCCCTCGTCCTCATCTCCCCTCCTTCCCCCACTCCCCCCTTTCCACTCCTCCCCCCTCCTTTTTTCACTCCGTTCCCCCATCCCGCCCTCCGCTCTCCCATTTCGCCCTCCCCTCTCCCATCCCGCCCTCCGCTCCCCCATCCCGCCCTCCCCCCTCCCATCCCGCCCTCCGCGCTGCAGGTGGTCGCAGTCGAGAAGCTCAGCGTGCTCGATCTGGCCCCCGGCGGCCGCGTTGGTCGCTTCGTCATCTGGACGCAGAGCGCGTTCGACAAGCTGGAGGGGCTGTTCGGGTCGTTCTCGCAGGCGCCCACCATGAAGCGCGACTTCCTGCTGCCGCGCGCCGCTATTGTCAACTCGGACATCACGCGCATCATCAACAGCGATGAAGTGCAGGTGGGCTGAGGAGGGGGGCGGGGGGGAGAATAGGGCCGAAGGGGTGGGGAGGGGCAAAGTCGGGTTTTTGTTAAGGTCGTTCTCCCAGGCGCCATCGTCAACAGCGAGATGAGGGGGGGACGGGGGGCGGGTGGTGGGGGGGTAGGGCGGAAGGGGTTAGGCAAAGCGGGGTTTTGGGCTGTTCGGGTCGTTCTTGCAGGCGCTATCGTCAACTCGGACATCACGCGCATTATCAACAGCGACGAAGTGCAGGTGCGCGGAGCGAGGCGGGTGCTGGGGGTCTGGCAACAGCCACGGGGACTGTGGTAGGGGCGAGGGAACGGGATAAGAATTAGGTAGCTGTTACATCACGCGCTGGGTTGTGCAGCGCCCTCCCCTGTCTCCTCCACTCCAAAGCAATGTGTTTCGAAGTTGCCCTGCCTTATCCTGATCTGTCATCCCTCCCTGCCCCCTTTCACCTGCCCTTTCCCCTCACCCCTCACCCCTCCCGCCCTCACCCCCCCCTCCCCTCCCCCTCAGAGTGTGTGCCGGCTGAAGAAGGCGGCGCCAGAGCCGCTGCACCGCCTCAAGCGCAACCCATCCACTTACCACCACTTCACCCTTTCTAACCGCTCTGTCTCCCCTCTACCTCCCCCATCTCTCTCTCCCCTCCTTCACAGAGTGTGTGCCGGCCGAAGAGGGCGGCCCCCAAGCCGCTGCACCGTCTGAAGCGCAACCCGCTGAAGAACCGCACCGCCATGGCCGTGCTCAACCCCTTCGCTGCGGACAAGCGCAAGCAGCTCGCCGAGTCTGCTGGCCAGCCCAAGGCCAGGAAGGCCCGCGAGGTGAGGGGTTGACTTGGGTTGACTTGGGTTGACTTGGGTTGACTGGGTTGATTCCGGTTGACTCGGTTGACTTCGGTTGACTGGGTTGACTTGGCTGACTGGGAGCAAAGGATGTGTTGAATTTGCTTTGCGATTGCCCACAGGTCTGTTCCTATTGTTCACTTTCACCAACCTTGATTCACTTCTGTCCCGTTTTTCCCTGGCCGTTTCCTGCTTATTGTATGCATGTTTCTGTTGTCCCTCTCACTGGTCTGTTTTCCTGGTACCAGTACTTGTTTCGCTGTGGAAATGTGTGTGAGCAGACGGAGGAGTCCAAGAAGGCGGGAGAGGCGTGGTACCAGACCATGATTTCAGACTCGGATTACCTCGAATTCGAAAACTTCACCAAGTGGCTCGGCGTGTCCGAGTGAAGCGTTTAGTACAGTACTGCAACTGAAATGTGATGCGGATGAGGAATGTGTGTTTTTTTTTTCTGTATCATTCACTAAGAAGGGTAGAGCTGGGCAAGAAGAGTTTTTTTTTTTTGGCAAGGGATGGTGGAAGTCAAGCATTAATACTTATTTCATGTGATCGTAGTTGTGCAAAAACATCCATAGCGTAGATAGATACCATACGAAATTTGGTTCAAGTTGATTGCAAGAAACTATGTAGTTATATGTTTCGAATCCCTTCAGATATCTACGGAGCGTTTCCTTAGTACCGTGATCTCTGCGGTTTCCGAGGATGTTTATAGCACGACGGAACTTACTGAAATAGTATGTAATAGTGAAGCGAGTCTATCGCACCGCGAGCTGCGTGCAGTTTGCTCCACACCTTTTCAAGAAATGGCAGCCCTTACTAGGCTCTCAGGCGGCTCGATCGTCGCCAGCTTGCTGCAAGGTCGCAGCCTGCGCGATCGTCGGTCGCTTTCCGCGAACCGCGATCCGTCGTTGTTGTCACTCACAGGCGGAACGGCGCACTCTCGGATTTCCAGGTTAGGATGTTTTCGTAGAGATGTTTTTCGCTCGTACGTGCATGCAGGCAGCCGCCGCATGACACGGCACCGCTGCCAGCCATTCTGGGCTTCGTGGTGACCGTGCGAATACGCGAGATCCTCGAAGTTCGCGAGGATCTCGTTTCGAGGCGCCTCAATAAACATAGTCGTAGGAAGAATAGATGCTTCTTAGTGACTGTGCGAATGCGCGAGATTCGCGGAGCGAGAGACGATCGCGGTGCACTTTCTAGGTCGTGGCGATCGTCTCTAGTCGCGCGTCTCTCGACGTATCTGCCAGTTTCCCTCGCGCCTCGTAGATTTATGGCTATTTAGTTCGCGGGTCATGCCTCTCTCGTCCCTCGAGCCTGGCTCCTTCCATCGTGCCTGCTTCTATTTTCGCGTTCCTGTGTCGTTCCTATCTGTTGACGACTGAAAATGGGATCTTGTGTCTTAACGTGTGAGAATCCAGCCGGGTCTCCGCCGCCGTCATACCCGGATTCCGTATTTGCAAACAAACCCACTTTCCTTTTCCCTTCCCACGATCTACCCTACCCGCTGCTGCCTCTTTGTTTTAACTCCACTCAAAACACGCCGCTTCTGTTGCCTTTTGAGGCGTCGCAAAAGTATATCTTCCCTTTGATGCGCTGATTCTGAATGTGCAGGCGGACCCACCTTCCTGTTACCTTCTCTCGAGCCACTCCGCCTGCTGCTGCTTCTACCTCTGCCGCCGCCGCGCTGGTCAACGGATCTGTGACTATGGAGGGCGTGACTATGCGCGTGCCGCCTCCCCCGCATCCCACGTGTGACGTCATGATGGCCGTGAAAGCCGCTCTGGACGAAGACGCGGGCGATCTCGGTGCGTGGGGGACAGGAGTGAGGGGGGTGTGAGGAGAGGATAGGATTGTGTGGTAGGGACGACGGGTGCGTGAGTGAAGTGTCTGCCTGCATATCCCTCCTTTTGCGAGCGCTGGCAATCTCCCCCTTGTGATTTCTGGCACACGTTCATGATGTCATGACGGCCGTGAAAGCCGCTCTGGACGAAGATGCTGGCGACCTTGGTGCCTGCCTGGGGAAGAGAGAGGCGTGGAGGAACAGGATTGCATAGATGGGAGGGACGAGTACACGAGTGGAGTGACAGGAGAGCGTGCGTGAAATGCTGGCAGGCACGGCACTTGCCTTGCCACCACACGAGCATACCCTTTCTCTCCCCGCCCTTCTGCTCTCATCCCGCATCAGGGGACGTCACGAGTCTGGCGACCATCCCAGCAGGCACACAGGCGAGCGCGCAGTCCCTGGCCAAGGAGGGGGGCGTGCTGGCTGGCACTGCGCTGGCCACAGCTGTGTTCCGACTGCTGGATCCCAGCATTCAGGTGAGAAGGGGTGGGGCGAGGCAGAAGAGTGGGCTTGAGTGCGCAGTTCCTGGCGAGAGAGGGAGGAGTGATGGCTGGCACTGCACTCACCACCGCTGTGTTTCGACTGCTGGATCTTGTTTTGAGTCGACTCAAAACCCGACTCTTAGAGTTCAGGTAAGAGAGGGGAGAGGAAGAGCGGGGTGAGGAGTAGCTACGGAGAGGCGAAGGGTTGTAATGAGGTGAAGGTTCCTGGGCTAGAATGGGTGCCTGGCGAAGGAGGGGGGCATGCTGGCCGGCACTGCGCTCGCCACTGCTGTGTTCCGACTGCTGGATCCCAGCATTCAGGTGCGCGAGGGCAAGGGGAGGGTGGGGTGAGAGGTGAAGGGGATGATGTGCGGCAGGGGCTCAGCATTCAGGCGAGCGTTCAAGGGGCGTGTTGGCTGGCACTGTGCTCGCCACGGCCGTTTTTATATTGATTTTTCAAGTGCTGAATTGCGTAGTGGATCAGAATGTGTACTATGTGTTTTTTAAATTGCATGCAGTTTTGGATCACTTTGCCTAGTGACAACTCTGTCTGTAGATACTGCAATGCGTGTAGTCACTGATATTCTGCATCGGATTGTTATTGCATGTGGGCTATGGAAGTCACCTGCATGTTGATCATTTGCTGCACGGCATGGTGCATGCGAGCAGGTGGAGTGGAGCAAGGAAGATGGGGACACGGTGCAGAAGGGCGAGGTGTTTGCCACCGTGCAAGGTGAGCTCGCTGAACTGGTTGGGTGCTGGGAGGTCGGCTGCTGGGCTGCTGGGCTGCTGGGGGGAAGGGGCTCATATTGCAATGCGGGCTGCTGACTGCATGTTGGAAGCAGGGAGTTATGGCACGAGATGGGAAGATGGAGACACGTTGAAGAAGGGCGAGGTGAAGATGGAAACCCATCCTCTCCCCCCACCCCTCGCGTTACCCCACCACGTGCAGGGTCGGCACATGCCATCCTGCAGGGCGAGCGAGTGGCGCTCAACTTCATGCAGCGCATGAGCGGCATTGCCACGTCCACTAGGGTGAGTCAGCACTGTTAGAGGCTGGGACAGGTCGGCTGATGGCTGAGTCAGTAGAGGGAAGGACGAGTCAGCACAGGGAGGCCTGGGTTAGAAAACAGTTAAGCGGCTGAGTGGGTGGGTAGTGAGTGGGTTTATTGGATGGGCGGACAGAGTGACTCCACCTCTCCCCCAGATTTCCTACCCTCCTCTCCCCGCTCTTCCCCCTGCTCTCTTCCCCTCCTCTTCTCCTCCTTCCGCCCACATGCCAGCCCATGGTGGAGGCAACCCGCTCTGCCACAGCAGCTCCCCTTCCCGCATTTTTCCCCCGCTCTCCCTGCCCTTCCCCGTTCCATCTCCCCCCTGCTCCCCTCCTCCCTCCCCCCTCCCCATGTTTCAGGCCATGGTGGAGGCAGCCCGCCCTGCCACAGTGCTAGAGACACGCAAGACCGCCCCGGGACTCAGAATCACAGACAAGTGAGCGGTGAGTGTTGTCTCGTAGCACACTTGCAAAGCTGTGAATCTCTCTATCTGTCAACCTGTCGATGAGAGCTGGCTACAAGAGTGTGTGTGGAGGGAGGGGGACGGAATGGCTTGACAAGGAGGCGTTTTGGGCATTGTCAAGAAACGCCTGCAATAAGAAGGGTATGGAGTGGCTTGACTAGGAGAAGTGTAGCGGCCAGGGGTTGGTTCTGAAAATCGTGTGGGGGAAGTTGAGTGGCTTGAAGCGTGGCATGAGAAAGCAGGATTTGAGCCACCGGAAATCTATCTCCCATACGCCAAGAGCCCCAAGAGAGAGCAAATGCGGAGTTACTTTCAGGCGGGAGGCGGAGCCACCGCGTGGGGCTGTGCGACATGCTGCTGGTCAAGGATAACCACATCGCTGCTGCTGGCGGCCCTTTCTTACTCTGTTCTGCCCCACCACCAGGTGCTGATAGGTGGGAGGCAGAGCCACTGCGTGGGGCTGTATGAAATGCTGCTGGTCTGTGAACCAGCTCAACACTCGTCCCTACATTACCCTGCTCTGTCTGTCCCCAGATGCCAGTAGGCCGGCGGCGCAACCACGGGGTGGGGTTGTACAGTACAGCCCACCACTTGTTTTGTGAAGTGGCTCAGAAGTCGTCCCTACCCTACCGCCCTCTGTCTGTGTCCCAGGTGCTGATAGGAGGGGGTCAGAACCACCGAGTGGGGCTGTACGACATGCTGCTGGTCAAGGACAACCACATCGCTGCTTGCTGAGTTGTCAAACCATCCCGACCGTACCCTACCCTAACTCCCACTGTCCCACCTCACCAGGTGCTGATAGGAGGCGGGCAGAACCACCGCGTGGGGCTGTACGACATGCTGCTGGTCAAGGAAAACCACATCGCTGCTGCCGGTGGTGTGCCCTCCTCCACTAAGGGATCACTCCCTACGTTTTGCCCATTGTTACCCTGCGCCTGCACTCCCTGCACTCCCCCAGGTGCTAATCTGGGGAGGGCAGAACCACCGAGTGCGGCTGCATGACATGCTGCTGGCTTCTCAGCCAGCTATGGGATCATCCCTCTCGTTTGCCCTTTCTCACTCTGTTCTGCCCCACCACCAGGTGCTGATAGGAGGCGGTCAGAACCACCGGGTGGGGCTGTACGACATGCTGCTGGTGAAGGATAACCACATCGCTGCTGCTGGCGGTGTGCCCGCCGCTATCAGCTCTGCCAGAGAGTACATCCGATCCAACGGCCTGGATCTCCCGGTGGAGGTGAGTGCAGGGGGGAACGAGAGCAGGTGGCGGCTTGAGGGGGGGGAGAGCATAGATGGTGGTGCGTCTGCCAGTGTGCCCGCTGCCATCAACGCTGCCAGAGAGTACATTCGATCCAACGGCCTGGATCTCCCCGTGGAGGTGAGTGAGGGCAGCCGGGGGGAGTTAGTACGTGGCGGTGTGAGTGGGGAGAGTGAGTAGGTGGCAATGGCGGTGACAATGGCTGTGGCGGTGGTGGTGGATCTGACTCCATCCAGCCATTCAAGCATCCAGCCAATTACTAGCCCGAATTGTTGGGTGGGGACGGAGGGATGCTGCTGGGGTGCATGGTGGGCTGGGTCACTCAAGCCATGCTGGGAAGCATCCTGGCTTTGCAGCCAGTTTTATGCCCTCCCTCCCTCCCCTTCACCTCCACACCCACCCGCCACTGCAGGTGGAAGCACGCACTCTGGATGAGCTGCAGGAGGTGCTGCGGTGCCGTGGGAAGGGAGTGGGGCGGGTGACAATTTCTTATTACTCCCTCTCCCTCTCTTCCTCTCTGCCGCCCGTATTTCCCACCCCAGGTGGAGGCCCGCACTCTGGATGAGCTTCAGGAGGTGCTGAGATGCCGTGGGGAGGGAGTGGGGCGGGTGATAACCTCTTGTTACTCCCTCTCTCCCTCTCTCCTGCCTGCACTTCCCACCCCAGGTGGAGGCCCGCACCCTGGATGAGCTCCAGGAGGTGCTGAGGTGCCGTGGGGAGGGAGTGGGGCGGGTGACGCGGGTGATGCTGGACAATATGGTGGTGCTGCGGCGAGGGGGAGGGGACGGCGGAGAGGCAGTGCATGTGGATGTAACCATGCTGCAGCAGGCAGTGGATCTGGTGAAAGGACAGCTGGAAACGGAGGTAGGATGACTGGAGGATGGGGGAAAACGGGTGGAAAGATATGGGTGCATGTTTGTGGAGATTTAGGTGGTGTGGAAGTTCATTCTTGCTGCTTGTCCGTTGTTTCTTTTGCAGGCGACGGGCAACGTGACTTTAGAGACTGTCGGTGCTATTGCTGCAACCGGTGTTGATTTCATCTCAAGGTTAGTTCTATGGGTTTCTTGTCTGCATGTTTGTCGATGGTATTTTCTATATTTTTTTAGTGTGCATTTTCTAATGCCAACCTTGTGCTTGTGTGTTGTGCATGCAGTGGTGCTTTGACCCATTCTGTAAAAGCGCTAGATATCTCGCTCAACATTGACACAGAGCTTGCACTAGACGTAGGCCGGAGGACAAATCGTGCTTAGCCAAGAAAGTTAAACAATTTGGGCTCCTCAATCCTGATGCATGCTGTGCTACCACTTATATATGAAGTAGGAATGGCCATCAAGGTCAAATTTCGGCAATATCGGAGATCTCCATATCGGCAATTCCCGCGGTAGCCGTTGAAAAAGCCGCGTGAGCTTTTCGTCGGCCAAGCTGGAATTTTCGCAAACAGCGTGTCAAGCAACCGGCAACCTCCGCCAGTGACAGCCCAAAAGCGCTGGATGGAAGCTGGGTTAGAGCTGGTGGAGCTCGGTCCGCTGGTTTGCATTGCATGTTGCACTTGCTGCTTTTCCCTCATAATGCTGTTCTAGATTCTCCCCTCCCCCCACCTCTCCTGCTGGTGGTGCTTGCATTGCAGCCACATCAATTCAAACTGGCCAAGTGCAGTGCATTTTGTAAATCCTTCGTTTCCATGGACCTCTGGAGACCGTGCATGTGTCGGTGCTGATGTTCATTGAGAAAATTGGCTGTCCCTTGGTACGAGAACTTCATTCGCTGCTAGGTGGTCGTTGATTGCTAGCTGCATGTCAGATGGCGAAAAGGTCGAAGGAAGTAGGAGAAGCAGTTTGCAATGGCGAAGTGCGTCCCCTCTTGGATGACCAGGCCGTTTCTTCGTCTCAACATGGTTCGGTAGTCCCTCCTGGTCTTGATTCCAATGACGACCCGGGCCCGAAGGAAGCTTTAGCACGATGCCTTTCCAAACCGATTCAACATGAAAGCTTAGATCATGAGTGAGTGGGACGTTTTGCGCTTCGCTTCATTTAGAGACGATTCCATGGATATGACTTGACGTAGTTATCGCTTTCCGTTCTTTTCAGGGTCCTTGAGTCTGCGATTCACGACGAGGACTGGCGCTCAAGAACGCGAGTAGAGCACCTCCAGTACACATTGCTCAAATGGCTCTTCGTCCTGCTCGTTGGCGCTGCAACGGGAGCTGTCGCTTTTTTCATAAACATGGGTGTCGAGAACATCGCAGGCTTCAAGTACCAGATGGTCCGTAAATACATGAAGACCGAAAGGTGAGCCTCGATTGTGCTGTCAATGACTACGTTAGTCCTTCATGGACTCTGATGCTACTACCGCTACGGCCTTACTCTCATCCCCGTCTTCAGTTTGTTTGCAGGCTTTCTAATCCTAGTGTGCTCCGACGTCTCTCTCGTCCTCTTCTCCTCGGTCCTCTGTAATGTAATTTCGATGGAAGCTGCCGGTTCTGGTATCCCGGACGTCAAAGCGTATCTCAACGGAGTAGACGCACCAAGAATATTTGCAGCCAAGACACTGTTTGTCAAGGTACTGAATTCTTTTTTTTATCTCTAGTCGTTGTAATGAGAGAGTGGCTTTTAATGCCTGGATTTGTCTTGCTCCTCGCAGATCTTCGGAAGTATAGGCTCTATCGCTGGTGGTCTTGCAGTGGGAAAGGAAGGTCCGCTTGTTCACACAGGGGCGTGTATTGCAAACGTTCTTGGTCAAGGTGGCTCCCGGAAGTACCATCTCACGTGGAAATGGTTGCGGTACTTCAAGAATGACAGGGACCGGAGGGATCTGGTGACATGTGGTGCTGCAGCAGGTGTTGCTGGTGCCTTTAGAGCTCCTGTGGGTGGTGTGCTCTTTGCCCTGGAAGAAGCAACCTCTTGGTCAGTGAAGTTGCTTTTGGTCACTGTCTTGATTTACTAAAGAAAAGCCTCATTGGAGCCTTCGTTGTTGCTTTGCTGTGCAGGTGGCGAAGTGCCCTTCTCTGGCGAGTCTTTTTCACAAATGCCGTTGTGGCCATGGTCGTCCGTGCTCTCATGACCTATTGTGCCAATGGACACTGTGGGCTTTACAATGGCGGAGGGTTTATCATATTTGATCATACAGAGGCGAAAACGGAGTTTGGTTTGGTGGAAATGTTTCCAGTCATTGGGTTGGGAATCATTGGAGGAATTGCGGGGAGCATTTTTAACCAGCTTAACCTCTCGCTATGCAAGTTGAGACAGCAAGGAAGCAGGTAAATGGGTTGCAATATCATCTGTTCCCTCTCACTCTGGCCTTGATTGTTGATTTTGTAGTCTCGCTGCTGCATTCAACTTCAAGATTCTTCTTTGTTTCAGGCGTGGAGTATGGAAAATTGTGGAGGCATGTGCAGTGGCAGCATTGACATCCGCAGTTAGATTCTCCGTGCCGTTCCTGGTCAAGTGTCAGCAATGCCCGGATGGGATTGAATGCCCCAGCAAGACAGAGATGGGGTATTACAAGAGCTTCACTTGCCCGCCGGGCCACTGCAACGACATGGCTGGCCTGCTGTTTACACCCAACGATGATTCCATTCGAAGCCTTCTCAGCAGCGGAACCCATCATGCATTTTCGTGAGCAATCAACTACCTCACTACAAATCTCCACCCCGCACCTCGCACTTGGGTCGCTCTTCACCCTACATTTCTGTAATCTGGGTTTCTCACCGTTTGGTGCCTTGTCCTGCAGGTTCACCTCACTTGGCATTTATTTCTTCTGCTTCTACTTCTTGTCCATCCTCACATATGGCATCACTGTGCCATCGGGCCTTTTTGTGCCTGCAATTGTCTGTGGCGCAACTTACGGCCGCGTGGTTGGAAGAATCATGTCCAACTATGCACCAGCAGACAACCTGGATGAGGGGACGTATGCACTCATTGGCACAGCGTCTTTCCTGGGAGGGTCCATGAGGACAACTGTCTCTCTATGTGTGATTCTCCTGGAGCTGACTGGAAGCCTAAAGCTTCTCCCACTCATCATGATTGTGCTGCTGGTCTCAAAGACGGTCGGCGACATGTTCAACAGCGGGATCTATGATGCGCACAACCAGCTGAAGGGGGTCCCGTACCTGGAGGCTCATCCAGAGGAGGCCATGCGTCATTATACTGCCAAGGACATTCTAGTGTCGGAGCCGGTGAAGTTTTCAGGCGTGGAGAGTGTGGAGCGGATATACGATACACTTCGAACTACAAACCACAACTCTTTTCCAGTCATTGACACCCACGAAGATGGCTCAACATCCTTCTACGGACTTGTCTTGAGAGGTCATCTCTTGGTGCTCCTACGGTCAAAGCAGAGCTTTCTGCTCCATCCGCATCAAGTGTCTGAAACTGCCCAGAAGCACCTTGCAGCAGAGGATTTTGGTAAGCCAGGATCAGGGAAGGGGCTGAAGCTGGAGGACATTCAACTGAGTGAAGAGGAACAAGGAATGTTCCTAGACTTGCATCCTCTAGCCAACAGATCTCCATAGATTGTGCCTGAGAGCATGTCTCTCAACAAAGGCATACATGCTCTTCAGACAGTTGGCCCTTCGTCATCTTTGTGTGGTTCCCAAGCCGACTCACGTTCTGGGCATCATAACCCGCAAGGATCTGCTGCCTCAGAATTTCAGTGAGCGGAATGTGTCTCAGACTTCATTAGTTTAGGAGTGGAATCTTTCTCATTCATCTGCTCAATCAACAAATGACCGCTACTCAGGGGACATACCGTAACAAGGGTACCATCCCACTCACACACAGCCTCAACTCTCCTCGCGCACTCTCACTCCGCCACCTCCCTCACCGCCTCCTGCTCCTCTGCTACCCCCACCTCCATCCCACAGTCCTCCTCCACGCCCCATGCTCACGCAACCAGCTCGGTGCACCCCCCTCCCCTCGCTCCTCCTCCTCCTCCGCCGCTTGCTGCTCTCCCTCACCCCCCTCACACCAGCCCCTCTCCGTCATCCCGAGCAGCTTTTCCTGCCATGCCTCCCTCCTTTCCTCACCTGTTGCAGCCGTCACCGACCCATCCTCCATTCCGCCAGTCCCCACACGCCCCCCATTACTCTACCATGTTTCCTTTCACTGCCTGCTTCCTACCCTGCTGCTCTGCTCCAGATGCCTGCTCCTACCCTCAGCACCAGAACCCCTCCCATCAGTCCTCACTCCATCCCTATCCCACACCTCCGCAACATGCTCACCTAGTTCCACTCTCTTCTGCTGGGCCCCGAAACTGGATGACGTGGCATGGTCAGAGCCAGCCGGCTGGCGAGATGTGGGTCGTTCCAGGTCAGCATTCCCGTGCTGCTGGGGCAATGATGCCTGCTGCTTCATTAGCCGCCACGACGCAGGAAGTGACAAGTGGTTTGGGAAGTGACAACGCAGGAAGTGTGAATCGCACTCGTCCCTGCTTGAAATGTTATTAGAATCCCCTTCAACGTCTCAATTGATTATTTGACCAGGATGCCATGCTACTTGGTGTAAATCTTTGTTTATTGCTTAGTTATATTAATATTTGCTATCCTTTTTTAACAGCTTTGCCATACGGTACTCACTGCCATGCCATGTAGATTATAAACTGTATATGATAAACAAAATCGATTTATCCTCAATGTAGATCTAGCCCTACTCACCCCGCCTCTTCCTCCCCGTCTCGTCAAAACCCGAACCCTCAACCTCTGCTTCGTTCACCTTTATATTTTTGCTCCTCTCCTCGCTCCCGCATTCTCCTCCAATCGCGGTCAAATTTCCACCGCTTTCGATCCTTTCCGCGCTATTCGAGCACCCGTCCTCTGCGCCCTCCTGCTGCACTTCCGCTAGATGAGGTGTGCGCTGAGTTGTCTCAGGCCGAGAGTCATCCCCGCTGCTCCGCAAGGCGAAAAGCTGCTGCTCACCATGCGTACAAGGGTTAGCGGCAGCGGTGCTGGTAGTATTAGGGTTTGCGACAGCTGTGCCGCTCGTCGTTTCCGTCCCAACTACGTCGGCCACCGTGTTCGTGTCGTTCGCCGTCGTTATCAGCAAGTGTGCTTTTGGCCTCCCGCCAATGGCTCCGAAAGTCGGAGACGTCCAGTTCGGACCTCACGGCGTCATTGTACCCCGTATAAGCTGTCCCGCTTCCGAGCGATTTGCCAGAGGCCCGCTCCAACAGTGATGGGTAGTAGTAATTGCGTGATGGGACTGCTGTTGACAGACGGGCGCGTTTCGTGTGTGGAGCAGGGAACAGGTATGCACGCACCAAGCTTAGAGATTCCTCAGAAACACCCGCGACGGGGAGATATGCATGCAGCAGCCTTTGATAATCCTCGAAAACACCTGCTGCCGCCGCCTTTGCCGCTCCGTTCGTCGCTCCGCGGCTCGTCCCTCCCATCAGCGGGATTGACATGCACCAGCATGGACCTCTTTCCGCCGCGAACCGGCGTGTTGTGCACGTAGTAAGTTTCTGGGCGCTGCTGCAGCCGTGCACGTCACGCACTGACAGAGTTGCCCTGCCGAAATAGTCTTGAGGCGTCATGGGCCTTTGAGTCCGCCGGGTGGCGTCAACAGAGCCAACCGCATTGACCAGGTCAACAGGGTCAACTGGGTAGACATGGTCAACCGGGCCAACTGGGTGAATAACAGCCGATCTGGGGGACGTTAGTAACGGCCAGTCAAGCGAGTCAAGCGACATGACGATGTCGAGATCCGACTCGTCGGGCTCCCACGCGCCGGAGTCGCAGACCATGGGCGCATCACGCGTCGCCTGCGGCAGCGCCTGAAAACGCGGCGCCGACGAGCTGAGCGGCGCGGCAACCGGACCGCGGGGAGGCGCCGATGACGAGAAAGATGACGATGTCGATGGCGACCCGTCGGACGGAGTCATGCCGCCGGTCGCTGTGGGAGATGTGTGTTTTGAAGGCTGTCACGGTGACGGCTCGGTAAATGACTGACTTGGTCAAAACCTGCTGGCGTTTTCTGAGAAGGAGAATGACTCTGAAGGAGCGCATGACTGACAGTCCGACTGTGGAGTGGAGTTCTTATCACAGTCCGACTGAGCCACTGAGCCTGTGCTACCACCCGTCATCGAAGCGGGCTGTGCTGAACTCACAAACTTGTGGCGCCCCATCCCCCGCGACCATTGGGGGAAGCGCCGGGACGGGAAGGGGTGGGGTGGGGGAGGAGGAGATGGGTTGGGCGGTTGATCAGTGGGAGGCGGAGAGTTGGGAGGTGCTCTCGGGTCGAGATGGGCGGGCGATTTCTAGATTCGAGGCCTATGGTGCGGAATCTTGCGGATGAGAGGCGGCGGTGATGGAGACTCGAGATTCAAGAGCTCCGCGTGATCGAAAGATATGCGGTGCATAGTACCTCCTTCGCGATAAGCACCTGAAATCGCCCTCTCTCCACCCACCCCCTCTCCCGCCCCTTCCCTCTCCCCGTTACTTCTCTCTCCTTCTCTCCTTCTGGAACCCCTTTCCTTCACTTTCCGCCGGCCTTTCTGTGTCGCCGCGATTGTCGCGTTGGTGAATGAGAAGGCTGACTGCCACAGAACAAAGTCTGTGACGATAATTATCGTTTGGTCGCGGGATGCCGCCAAATCCACCGACGTGTTTGTCCGAGGCCGACAGATCAGAGCGCATCCAGTTTCACCTGAATCACGTGTCATGCACAGTACTGCACGCGTGAAGTGAACTCTCCTCTCCTCCCCTCCTCGCGCGCAGTCGTGACGGGACGGGAAAGGAGAGCCAGGGGGGAGGAGGAAGGGAGGAAAGGAAAGCGCCATCCCTGGCAAAACGGAGCGTCACCCTCGATTCCGTTGAGAGATACAGAGAAATGCTCGCACCCACTACTGTACCTCAAGACGAATTCTAGATTCTAGCGGTAATGGTGGCCCACGTGCGTGTATCTAAAGGATGATATGCCGATCTTGCGGGCAACACATGGGTTGAGAGATTTACAAGGAACCCGTAATGTTACGAGTACAAGAAAAAATGCCCTTATGACTACCCCAGCCCAGTTCGGCCTTTGTTTATTCACATCTGTCCCGTTGGCACTCTGACTGTTTTTGCCACCAGTTCTCCCGCCAAGAGCTGAACACGTGCTATGTTTACGAATGTAAAATGGCTGCAGATATGTTTGTAATCAGGAAAGCGGTGATTTCAAAATAACCCTACAACTTTTAACTCGCCCACGAACACCTAGCCCCAAAACAACTCGTTCCCTTACTCGAGAGACCCTCAAAACGAAAAGCCCCGAAGTCGCTTGAAAGAGTCCGTCGACACGCCCCACCAGCTGTAATCACAACTGGCATGGGAAAGAAGCAGCACCGGAAATTGCCGGCCACGAATGTCCTTGCTGAGCAAGCAGCATGTGGGGCTTCGCCACATTGTTCCAATTGGTCAATTCTTGATACTTCCCCCAGAGTGCTGGAACCAATACACCACCCTTGATGAACAATTTTCCTTGCACGTGGCTCACACGCGATGGCCGCTAACGAAAATATTTTGCTAACAGACTGTAGTGAGCAAGGTCGTTTCGCCTACCTTCGCCAAGTTCGGCAGGGGGGGCGGGGGGGGGGGGAGAGAGGGGGGGGTGCAAAATGGGCTTGTAAATGTACCTCTGCCGTACCATTTCTAAATATCTAGATGTGAAAACACTATTCTGAACGACACCGAAAGTAGGATTTTGTGAAAGACATCTTATGTGTCTCGGTAATTTTACATATCTTGTTCTGTATGTACGCACTTCGAACGACTCTAAGATCTGTCCTTGATGGTTTTCGAATGCATGACGATATGGTTTCTGATCGGGTTAGGCAAATGCACTGGATTGTTTTTTTTTCGATTAGATTTGAATTGCACACGGGTGTTGCGAGTCCATAAAACATAAGCAGTCGTAACTCGGTACGACGGGCTTATGTGGACACCCAGCCTAAGATACGTCTTATAGAGTGGTTGAAACATGCGTTAACTGTTCCAAATTGTACCAAAGTTGTTTGTCCACTTCCACCTACTGCCTTCCGCTAGTCTGATGCGGTTCAAAAGCAGGAGTTCTTGCTCTGCTAGTGCTTGAGATTTTCCCGTTTGCCCGTGCCCATTTTTAGCCCGGCTGCGAGAGGCCTGTCAGAATGCTATAATTGTCTAGTCTGCAGTGGGGTACTCCATAGTGAGTACAGCCCATATTAGGGTTTGCTATATGTATCCTATCTGCTGCTAGTGCAACCCCCCCTTCTGTTCTTACATTCCTGCCTGCTTATTCTAACATGGTAACAGAGCGTCTACACTCCTGGCCTGTGGGCCCACTTGCTTCCGCTGCTGTACTGTCTGTCGCGCGCCCCGTGGCGCGCGACGTTTTTTTTTCCTTCCCGCCACGCGCTCGGGGCGCGTGGCGGTTTCCTGCCCGCCGCGCGCCCCGGGCGCGCGCGGCGGTTTCATGCCCCGTCGCCCGTCGCGGCGCCCCGGGGGCCCGCGCGCTGCCCTGCCCGTCGCCCGTCGCGGCGCCCTGGGGGCCCGCGCGTCGCCCCCTCCCGTCGCCCGTCGCGGCGTCCCGGGGGCCTGCGCGCTGTCCCCTCCCGTCGCCCGTCGCGGCGCCCCGAGGGCCCGCGCGCCGCCCTGCCCGTCGCCCGTCGCGGCGCCCTGGGGGCCCGCCGTCGCCCCCTCCTGTCGCCCGTCGCGGCGCCCCGGGGGCCCGCGCGCTATCCCCTCCCGTCGCCCGTCGCGGCGCCCCGGGGGCCCGCGCGCCGCCCTGCCCGTCGTCCGTCGCGGCGCCCTGGGGGCCCGCGCGTCGCCCCCTCCCGTCGCTCGTCGCGGCGCCCTGGGGGCCCGCGCGCCGCCCCGCTTCCGCTCACACGCCGCCCCAGCTGCTGCCCGCGTATCTGCCCCGCACCGCACGTACGCCGCCTGCGTTGGGGGTATGGGGGTGGAGGGTGTGTGAGCCGTCCCCTGCTCCTCCTCCTCCTCCGTCTCCCACTGTTGCAGCTGCCGCTGAGGGGGGTGGGTGTGTGGGAGCCGAGGGAGTGGCGCTAGGGGGGTGTCGTGGGAGTGATGCTAGGGATGCAGAGGGGGATGTGAAAAGGGGGTTTGGGGCAGGGAGGTTGAACGAAGGTAGCCGTCGTGAAGTCTGCAGCTCCAGTCGCCCGTGAGGCGTTGCACCAGGAGCCTGTGGGCCAGTTGCTCCAGTCGCCCGTGGGTCAGTTGCTCTTGCCGGCGAGCAGAGCCAGTTACTCCAGTTGC